AAATTGTAACTATGTGAGGTGATGGATGTATTAACCTTATCGTGGTAATCATTTCGATATACATACATACATGTGTGTGTGTGTGTGTGTATCATCATATTGTACATCCTAAACTTATACCATGTTATGTCAGTTATTTCTCAATAAAGCTGGGAGAAAAGAAAAAGGAAAATAAAACACATTACATTTGTCCACCTTTGGGAAAAAATTTTTTTCATGACTACTTCAGACCAAACCAAATGATGGTGAAAGGTGTCTGGTCCCCAGGCCACGTGTAGCAAATCTGACACATCACACCCCCTTGGCCCACCTAATTTCACCTCAAACACTCACCCACCTTGTCAGCATCCCTCATCGAAAATGGGATGGCCACCACAGGGACAGTGAACAGATCAGATCAGTGGCTGCCCAGTGGAAGTGGAGGGAGGTGCCTGGATACAAAAGGGAATGACGAAACTCGTTCATTGTGGGTGATAAAAACACTCAATAGGTTAAAGAGGAAACTATTACTGGGGCTTGGGTGATGGTGTGAAAATTCAGGGACAAAAGGACATTGCAGGAAGGTCATTTTGAGCATGGGGCACAGTTCTGTTGTCTTGAGAAACAAGGTCATCTGCCCAGGTTTTGGTATCGGCAAATGGTACAAATTTCTTTCCTATGTCCTTTAGGACATCAGTGAGGAGTTGGTGAACACAAGACATTAAAGAGAACTGAGAATACCCTGCAGGCTGAGCTCTGGTTCTTCAATACCTGCAGAAGGCCTTAAGTGGGTTGAAATACGGTTCCCCTAAGCAGAAAGCATTGCCATGTTTTATGGAGAGTGTTACATGTTCAATATCAGTGTTCTATTTTGGGGGGGCTACGTGTGGTCTTACACATCTGGGACTTTCCATAGAATTTGTAACTGACAGATTCTGCCTCATTAAAGAATCCTTCTAATTGAAGTGCATCCCAGCTATTCACCATGGCCCCAAACAAACGCGCCTGGAAATGATTATGATAGACTATAGGAATTCCAGCACCTAGGAGGTGGGGGATGGGGTCAGGGGGAGTGAGGACCGGATACTTTTGATTGAGGGGACCTGTCCAATATATTAAGTCACATCACACAAGCAGCTGTCTATTCTGTTACAATTCTGATCACAAGATCCTGGACAGCGGTACCTGAATGTGTCTCAGTGTCTGAACATACCAGTGTCTACAAGGTGACCTGACGAAGAAGTTTGATCGAAACAATTGGTGTGAATGGAATCCTATGGTTATTCGGGGGCTGGCGCAGGTTTTTAGACACTTGTTATTGCTGATGTAAATTTTCTCCCTTACGTGTTGGTTGTACATGTACATATCTCTGCATCCTGATTATTAAGCACTGGGAGTTTATAAATAAGCATTCCACTCAGATGTAACATTACTTCTGAATTTCAAAACGTCACCATTTCAGCACCATGATATAAGCACATCCATTCTCAGACAGGATTTTCAGAACTGCAGATTAAGTGCTAAACAAACACCACCATGAAGCAGCCACTCTTGGCTTTCATGTCTCAGGGTTTCCAGGAAGCCTGAGGCATAATCCAGAAAATCCAAATGTGGGAGTCATTCCCTCCAGGGGCACCTTTACCTCATAGGTGAGAAAAGTTGGTGAACAGGACAGCATTCCTGTCCTCTGATGAGACAATACTGAGACACATTCTACATCAGTCCTTGGGGAGACCCAGCCCAACTGAGTACCAACTGCCCGCAATACTAACAGGTTTATCCACACCCTCTACACTGGTCCCTATTTCTCATTCCGCTTCCTGGACTCACCTCCCAAGTAAAAGCACCCAAGTCCTTGTCTCAGTTTGCTTTCAGGGGACCTAAGCAGTCACCACTCGGATCACACTCTTACCGCCAGGTTCCCGCATGTGCTGTTCCTTCTGTCCCACTCTTCACCCAGTTCCCACGTTCCTTGGGAAGTCGTCTCTGACCCTTCCTCTCTTCCAGTGCTGTGGGATGCCACTGTGCTGTTTCCCCAGTCACAGCACTACCACACTTGCAAACAGGAAAAGCCAAAAGAGAAGAAACTGTGGGATTCTTGTCCTCCCACTGTCTTCCCTGTGCCATACACAATTCGTGTTTTTAAAATATTTGTAGAATGTAAGAAGTGACATTAGAAATAGTTAAGAAGATACAATATGAAGAATCTTACACTCTCTAAATTTTAACAGCGTTCACTGGATCCCAACAACCCCATGTGCCATAGAGAACAAGCCTGACTCCATGTTGGAGTCAAGTCTGTTCCTTTAGCTCTAACCCTTGTGCACTCTTGCCTGTGCTGAGTCATGCTGGGTCTGCACCTTTTGTAAAAGAATGTTGTCTACGGTCTGAAACACACATATAGCCCAATCTCAAGGCTCTGACCTTTAAAGGTGTAACACTTTTCCATTCATATAGAGACAAAAAGGGTGCAGAAGAGAGAATAACATTTGTCTTGTTGGAGGTTTACAATAATATTGAGACTAGACCTACACGGACAGCTGTAAGAACTAAGGATTCCTGCACTAAAAAGTTTGCACCAACCAACCACTCTCCTTTCCCTTTTAGTATAAAGAAGCCTGACTTCTACCTCAGGTAAGATGTTCTCTGGGACATTAGTTCACCATCCTCTCAGTCTGCTGGATTTCTGAATAAAATCACCATTTCTTGCCCCAGCATCTCGTCTCTTGATTTATTGGCCTGTCATGCAGCAAGCAGAATGAGCTTGGACTCAACACGTTCTCATTCTTATTTTATAGGTCAGGAAACCGAAGCCCAGAAAACTGGACTTAGACCAGCCCTGAACACACAGGACACTTACTACTGTCCCTGGCTACTTTAAACTTGAGGCTTCATGTCCAACATTAAAGTGATGAATTAATAACCTCCCAGCAGCAGTTCACCAGAACCCAGATAAAGCTATCCCCGGGGAGAGCGGGTGGGAGAAACGTACGCTAACTGGGCTTAACCTGAATTTCAGGAGTGGCCTGTCAAAGGAACATTTTATTAAGGAGCACAAATATAAATCCACAAAAGACTGAAAATGAATTTTTTGTTTTACATAGTTCAGATATTGCATGTTTTGTTTCTAGAAGTTCAACTGGGGTCTTTCTTATGTTTCATTTTTCTCATCATGCCCATGTGTCCTGCCTTCTTGAACACACAGAGAATGTCTAACGGCTGTTTTTGCATCCTTGTCTAGTAATTCTATCATCTGTTTAACTTCTGAGTCTGGCTTTTCCTTTTTTTGATTTTAAGATGAAAAATTTTCAGATTAATTACTAGAATCTCTTTTTGAGATAATTAGTAACCAAAGCTGCACTTCATCATTAGTAGTGTGTCAGAAAATAAGATCTTTAGAAAAAGATCTAAATACATTTAGTTCAATAGCATTCAATGTGCTATGGAATGAGAAGCCATATGTAAGACAGAATAATCAAACTTTAAGGGGCAGGAATTCAATCTCTCATGTTGGCATAAACATTTGACACGAACCATAATTTACCACGAACTGACTTCTTCCTCTGTTTCTAAAAACAATGTTAAAAAGGCTGAGTCTTACTTAGACATTAGTGACTGAATACAACTGCATTTCCCCAAGTATTTTTCAACAGTCTGTACGTTAAAACAAGGACCCAGATTTACCTGAGTTTTACATAAACATAAAACAATTCTGAGCCAACTGTTTCAACTGTAGAAGCATCATTGGATGCACAGCCCCTAAAAGTATTAAAAGAAAAAAAAGTAGGGCACATGCCCCTTAAATTTTTACAACTTACACGTTGTTAAAGCACTTTGTTTTAAATACCATTTTCTTCAAATTCTACCTGAAATAAGAATGGTTATCCCCATTACACAGATTGAAACTGGCAGATGAAGACAAGCCCTGAATTCAGAGGTCCTGGGTAATTTCTTGGTCAACATTTTCATCAAATTACAACTAAAACTTCACAGGCATGAGGAGAGAGGCATTTTGACATTTTGGTCAATTCACCAAATGATGAACCAAATTAAAAGCTCTTTTCATCAACTAATAGTTAATATGAGATCTTGCTTAAGCCAGAGTGAGTCAAGACTCACTCAAGATTTAGTACTTTCATATATAAAAGGACCTAGATTTCAATACTGTGTACTCCTAAGATGGTATTGCAACCAGGTTCTTGAAAACTATGCCACCAAGACAAGATCCTGCTTTAAGTTCTGTGCTCTTCCCTCCAGAATGTGGACTGACTGCTGGGTGCTTACTAAAATGCAACTGGGTAAAATACATCCTGCCAAACATGTATAAAACCACACTCCAAATATTCATTGTAACTGTCTTCCTAGATGAAGAGACTTGGAAGGGCTGTGTCTGTGTCTTACTGGGTGTGTGAAGGACTGCACTAGAGGTTTCATCTCAATTTTCTCGTCTTAGCAAAGTATGTAATATTACTTTCACAGCTAAGGAACTTGAGTTCCAGGGAGGTTAAGTCACTGAGCCAGTGAAGGAACTGGTACTCAAACCGAAAACTGATTCTAAAGACATGCTTCCTACAGGTAGGAAGGGACAATCATACAGTCAAGATGTAAGAATAAGCTAACACACCAAACATAATTTCCAAAGCCTGACTACACACGTGTGTGCGTGCATATACACATGTATCTGTTTATATGTAACATTTTAGCAAGGATTGTGATTTTCCTTTCCTTTTCACAATATCCTATTTTTACGGTTTTCAATAGAAATACAACACAGCTTTGAAATGGTGCGCAAGTCATACACATACAGTGCCAGGAATTTTTAAAAACTCGATACATCCACGTAACAGCATCCTGATGAAGAAACAGAGCAGTACCAGCCACTTTGGCGTCCTCTTCTTAAGTTCCCTTTCTAAGGCAGCCTTTAGGATTCAGTTGTACGTCTGTCAGAAGCAACTGGAAACAATGTTCATTTTCTAACTCAAAGATCAGAAAGAAAGAGACAGGGTTTAAGGCTCAAGAGGTTCATTTTAAAAAATTATCTTTATTTAGGTTTCTGATTCAGCACATGTATCAAAGACTAATCAACATAAAGAAGTAAATAAGACATTAATTGGAAGTCTTACATCTCTCTAAACTCTGACCAAGAATGTCAAGATTGCCACTATTACCAGAACTCCAACCTAGTCAAGTTGTAGACAAGCTATCATGAACGACGTACAGTGTGCACAGATATGTGGAGGCAAAAGACATGCTAGCACTCGGCTCTCCTCTCTTCCTCGCTGACGTCTTTCCACGTGACAGTCCACTTTTGCTTTCCATGCCTAGCTCCAAATAAAGTCCAAAGAAGGCTCAGGGTCAACCTGATCCAATCCTCTTCTGGAGGAAGGTATTTTTACACTGTTGTGCCTGCAACTTTGTTTTTGCCAGGATGAAGTTCAGATCGAGATGTACAATACAATCCAGATGACAGTGCAGACTAAGTCAAGAACTGAAGTTGAGCAGTAACCCGAGTTAAGGCATGAATGCACACACACACACACACACACGTGCACACACACAGCACCCACACTATCATGAACATAGGATTCCTTTCATTGCCTACAAGAGGCAACCAGGGCTTGGCAGTTAACCACGACTGCTGAGCATTCAGAAAAATGCTCCCCATAATTTTATGCAAACAGCTGTGTGTGTATGTTTTACCAAAAAAAAAAGTAAAGAGAAAAGAGAAAAAACTGGAAAAAAAACCCAAATAAACAAACAAAAAAAACCCCAAAACCTAAAAACCCCTTAATCTCTTATAATGGCTCTTGAGCATGGAACTCACGTAGCAGCGTCAATGGCTGGCTCTTTAATAATTTGGAAATAAATGGTTGTTTTACTATGCATTTCTTTGGTAGTCATCACTACAAAGTTTTCAGTGTTGGTTATCTATAAGTACTAGACAGAAGATTAAGTTACATAGAAATATTTCTTCTGTACTGATGAGATAAAAATATTGAGCTCTCAAAGCACAAGTTACTATGCTTTTTCTTGCCTTACTGGGGGCGTCCTCTACAAGCAAGGCTTCGTGCAGGAGAAGTTCATGTCTACCTAACAAAGGGCGATACGTAGTCTATTTTCCTACAGTGGAACAGTTAACAAGAAATTCACATTATCAATTCTCTCTGGTCAAATCAGAAGCCAATTACAAAGGGTCAGCAGCACTTGGTGTCAAAGCCACATTCTGGTCTCACATTCATTTCATGGTTGTGGTCAGTCTCTCAGGAGCTCAGAATTTGAAACTCCTTTCAGTTAACAGAGGATCGAGTCCAATTAAATCTTAAATAATTCTGCCATCTGCCAAATTTCTATAATTCTGTCTAGAACGCCAGCATGCTTGATGAGAGAGAGCAATCAGAGCCCAGAGAGGCGTCAGGTATCAGGGAAAGTAATCTGGTTTTGTATAAAGGCGTGGTGATCTGGCGTATTTATCCTATTAGCAGCACAGTGGTAGCCGAGGGTCTCTGTCAGCCAGACAGGAAAATGAAGCCCCTGAACCTGCTGTTGCTCCCACCTGCCTTCGGAGGCCTCTGGGAGTCAGTCCAGGGCTACCCTCGGCGGGTGGGCAATGCAAACAGCAGGAACCACATTTAGGCCCAGAAGCGCCCAAGGTAAATAAGCTTCTATGGGTAAGAGCCCCTGTGGTTTGAGATCTGAACCTAAGGGGTCCCTGGGGGCTAAACAATTGCCAAGAAACTGCTCTAGCAGGGACAGCCCAAGTGTGACAGGCTCCACACGGGGTCATAAAACTAACAGGACGTGAGACAGCTGCAATTCAAAATAGTAGTGTTTGTTCTATCAATTCCAAATGTTGGCCGGGAGAGGCAACTGGATTTATGGCGACAGAGTGCTGTTTGAAGGAGCTGTGTTTTATTTTGAAATGAAATGACTAGTCTAGGGAAACCAGCACTACATTTCTGCAGAAGTCCGGATGTCAAGAACCTGTCTCTAAAAGGCGTTTATCAGGAACTGTTTGCTCACTCCAAGTGCTTTTTCAGTCACCACCATATGGCAATGTTTTGACTTTTGTGCTTTCGGGAAGTAACTAAATAGCCAGCAAGCGGAGGGAAGATGGTTACATCACTTGGGTGAGTGCAAGACACTATCTAAAAGCACTGAAACCTACCATCTCCTAAGATTCTTGTAAACATATACCATATTTCTCCTGTAAGGAAAACTGAGAACTGTACCATGAAGGCAACATCTGTCTGTCTGCCTGTTCTCAGAATTCCTCAGAATGGCCATGTACCAAGGGGGTGGGTGGAGGGAGACAGTGAGCTGTTGGTGAAATCCCCAGGTTGGATATGACCCTGTCTGCTCAAATTAAAAACCTCAAGCCTCAATAATTAAATGCCAAACCTCTTCCCTGTATTTGAGAACTGTACTATGATTATGTATATTACACATTATAAATAAACATTGATATAGATCTACAATTTCTTCCCAACAATTGAGGAGAGATGTTCTCAGTTCGGGGGTGTAAGCTGCAAGGGGTGAACACTCCTACTGATGCTTTTACTCTCAAGTTCTTGAGATGCTAGTCCAACACTATTACCCAACAAGCCTTCTCTTCATTCTGTAACTCTTAAATATGCACTTGAAGGCAAAAAATGGAGGTTCCTCTACTGTACAACATTAAATATCTACAATGTCATGGTTCCTTATGCTTAGGAGTGTGTTCAGTAAAGAGCTAGCTGTTGGAGATGGTCGTCACAAAACAGGGACTCTTAAAAGTGACGGATAAATTAGTTTTCAGTTCTCTGATTATATCCAACAGATACACATTCTCATCATAAAATATACATTCTCTAGTAAGTTATTTTTTGTCCACAGCATATATAAATATGCAAACACAGGTGGTAAAAATCACTTTACTACCAAAGTACAAAACAGCAACTGCTGAAAAGCAAAAATAAAGATGTTGCGAGTGTTAAGAAAAGAGTGACTCACCATGTTCCACTTTAAAGTGAAACCAAATGATTTATTTGTGCTAAATGAATGGAAATAACGTATTCAGAATATACTTCTTTGTACACTGCACTTGCTTTTACTGGGCGAAATAAGCAGTCCTCAATGCTAATGTGCTACTTTCCTCTACACCTCTTCTCTTTTCTGCCAAGCAATAAAGTATTTTGTTGGCCATTATGCCAAGATATTCCTATAATGTTCATTTCAAATAGTATTTTCTAATAGTATTTTGCACCTTTAAAATATCTGTCTGAACTCTATTTTAGGGGAACACAAATAAAGACCGGAAAGGGAAAATAGCTGTTTTTGTTACAATCACATTGCCTTCTGCAAGCAGAAATCAAACAGCACGTTCTCATCAGCCACCGCAACCTCTGGTGGGTAGGCCAACATTTATCAACTCACGTGAGAGGGGCCAGTCTCGTAGATTAAATCCAGGATAAAGAGAGACTCACACCTTGATATACAATCATCATCCGCCCCATGTACCTGGAAAAGGTACAGCCATGTGATCCATTGCCTTGGGCTGTTTTACCAGAGGCATGGATGTCGATATACACTGAAAATAATCTATACAAAGTGTATCTGCAGAAAGCTCTATTAAACAATATACTGTCTTGGGCACTGACCCCTCTGACTTCCCATTCTACACTGAAAGCTCGATTTTCAAAGGTCTGAACTGTAGTGCTGAATTACTGGTATGTTTGGTAAACACCATTATAATGGGGGAGAGGGCAATAACAGCTCCGTAATTTTCTGCAAATTCATGGGAAAAAATATAAAAAAAGATATCCCTTTTTATTTCACAAACCTAAAAGCCAGGAAAATGAAGCTCTGGGGCCAAGCGAAAATTGCACACTGCTGCTGAACTACCAAATACCGGATAGCCGATGTTCCAGCCAGGGAATGGACGTACATGTAGATTCAAGTAAAACACCGATGGAAAGAGTCGTCTGGTTAGTGTTGTAGACCCACAACACTGGCTGCGTCTCCGACAAACGTTTACAACACAATGAAAAGTGAAGCCTAGGTAACCTCAGTGCAAATAAGTCAGATCCAAATATGCCAGGGGAGGAAGCCTTTGGCGTAGAGGAGACGGCTCCACTGCACGAGTCCCAACGCGAGAGTCGGACCAAGCACATGCATTAAGGCTGGGAGGAAGGGTGCACCGAATGTTGCGAGGGGGCGGGCTGCGAGGTGGCTGCCGAGGGGACCGTGGGCTGCATGGGCGGCGGCGGCGGAGGCGGCGGTGGCTGGACCGGGGTCTGTGTGTTGGGAGACGGAGGCGGCGTGGGCCGTTTGAATTTGTCAGGGCTGTTGCTTCTCCGCGGCGAAGGCCTCTGCAGGGAGGACAGAACAGCAGGTCAGTCTGCGTGCAGACGGCTCGCTTCGCCCGCAGCCTGCGCCGGAGCTGCGGCTGGGGCGGTGCGGACCAGCGGAGACACAACGCTGGCGATGCCCGTGTCCGTCACTGCGAGTTTCTGAGCTGGTAATGAAAACTTAGACGAGGCAGAGTTTACACTTACACCTAGAAAGAGCTATGAAACTGGCATTGACCAAACCCTTACCGTGACCGTCCTAAAATTAAAAACCACGGTCACGTCCTCCCCTTAAATCTCTTCTGTCCATTTTATACCCCCAGTTCCTTCTATCACTCAAACAAGTGTTCAACATCCTGAAAGCTGTAGCTCAACCAAAAATGTCCCCACTTTTACGTAAAGCTCATCAAATCAGCGAAACTACTTCAGAAATACCTTCCTTTTGCTTCCGTGCTTTTACAGGAGAGTTCTTTTCAAGATTCCCTCATCGGGAACACCCTCAATTCTACCCTGCACTCAAACCCCTATGAGCTACAAGTCCAATTGCTCGGTAAGTCAACTAAACAACCAGCTCTACAGAAAACACTCCCCTGAACAGAGTTTTAACCAGATGCTCTTAAGATTCCTTCTAATTCCAGGGAAGAAAATTCTGAGTTAAACTTGAAATAAGTCTAATTTCAGGAAGAATATTTAGGGTCAGTGAACTGTTAAGGTGCAGACAATAAATATTTTAGACATTATGGCAACCAACAATAATTCATTATGGCAAGGAGTTGGCCAGAGTTCAGTCGAGGCATTGGCCAGAGTTCAAATTATGTTTCACAAAGGGCAATTTTTCACAGAAAGTGAAGGTGAAGTTCTGCGTCCTGGGAAGGATTTTAGTTTCAGCACCAGAATGCAGTATCAGACTGCTGGGAGGTGTCTAGAAGTTTAAGGTGAACTGACAGCAGGAGGGAAGAAAGGTGCATGTCCAAGGACATCAATGCTGGCCTCCCACGGAGGACCGGTTGCTGCCACCGTCAGTGCTGCTTCCTGCCCTGGAGATACTCACTGTGATACCATGGGATGCTCCCATATGCTGCACGTGAAGACCTGGAGAATTGTAATAAGACATTCCAGCTCTAGTCAGTGAAGTTGGTGGTGTGAAACCAACTGTGTGACTTGCATATGAGAGACCTGAAATAGAACAACAATTTGTATGTATTATTTCAAACTCAATTATCTGGAGTCTTCAAGCATCTAGGAGGCTGTAAAATGCAGAAGTTCTTAGTCACCCACAAAAATGAAAATAGATGAGAGAAGCAGTGGGCTCACCCAATGGCCTGCTGGATGGATAACAAGGGATGGAACAGCCAAGCCCTGGAACAAATAGCCCAGAAATAAGCCCTCACACAAATGGTCAAATGGTCTTCAACGAAGGTGCCAAGAATACGCAACAGGGAAAGGACAGTCTCTTCAACAAATGGTGCTGGGAAAACTGGAGATCCACATGCAAAAGAGTGAAACTGGACTCCTATCTTACACCACACACAAACATCAACTCAAAATGGATTAAAGACCTAAACATAAGACCTGAAACCTTAAAACTCCTAGAAGGAAGCACGGGGGACATTTATGACACTGGTCTTGGCAATGATTTCTTAGATAGGACACCAAAAGCACAGGTACAAGGGCAAAAACAGACAAGTGGGATTACATCATACAGAGAAGCTTCTGCTCAGCAAAGGAAAGAATCAACAGAAAGGTAACCTATGGAATGGGAGAAAATATTTACAGACCACATATCAGAAAAGGGCTTAGTATCCAAAACATATAAGGAACTCCTACAACTCAACCGCAAATAAACAAAGAATCTAATTTTAAAAGGACTTAAATAGACATTTCTCCAGGGGGGAGGGTATAGCACAGTGGTAGAGTGCATGCTTAGCACGCACAAGGTCCTAGGTTCAATCCCCAGTGCCTCCATTAAAAAAATAAATAAATAAGCCTAATTACCCCCCCAAAAAACTTTAAAAAAAAGGGTATTTCTCTAACAGCCAATATGTACAAGAAAAGATGTTCAACATCACTAATCAACTACTCATCAGGGAAAAGAAAAGGTAAGTGTTGATGAGGAAGCAGAGAAATGGGAACCCCGTGCTCTGTCGGTGGGAATGTAAATTGGTGCAGCCACTGTGGAAAACAGTATGGAAGTTCCTCAAAAAATTAAAAGTAGAATTACCATATGATCCAGCAATCCCACTTCTGGATATTTATCCAAAAGAACTGAAATCAAGATCTTGAAAAGAAATCTGTACCCACATGTTCACTGAAACATAATCCACAATAACCAAGATGTAGAAACAACCTAAATGCTCATCAACAGATGAGTGGATGAAGAAAACATGGTATATACATGCAATGGAACATTATTCGACCTCTAAAACGAAGAAAAGTCTTTTCAAAGAGAACACGGATGAACCTGGAGGACTTCATGCTAATTAACAGAAGCCAGTCCCCGAAGGACAAATACCGCATGATACCGCTTGCATGAGGTGTCTGGGTCAAACACACAAAAGCAGAGAGCATAATGGTAGCTGCCAGGGGCTGGAGGGGAGGCAACAGGGGATTGCTGTTCAATGGGCACAGAGGTTCAATTATATGAGAGTAAGTTCTAGAGATCTGCTGCACAACACTGGGCCTACTTAACAATGCTGCATTGTGGTTAACAGTTTGTTACAACGGTAGATCTCATGCTAAGCGTTCTTATCTCAACTTAAAACAAAACAAAACAAAACAAAAAAAACAAAGTCAAGCCATGACAAGAGTCCAACAGTCCAACTGAGATGTACAAAAGCAGCAGCAGATGTGAGAAGAAATGAGAATAAAGTGGAAAAAATAGAGTAAAGAAGTAAAAATCAGATGGAAGAAAGGGAAAGTGTGAAAAGATACAGCGGTAATAATGAGACACAACCAGTGTGTGTGTGTGTGTGTGTGTGTGTGTGTGTGTGTGTGTGTGT